ATTGGTAATGATTCCAAAGGGAGAATCCCTGGAACTTTCAATGGCAGATCCAAAGAGGTGAAAAGCTGTCTTCCCTTGATGACGACCCCTAATTATTTGTGGAAAGTTTCATAATGTTCTTCCTGGTCTTTAGAGTCTTCCCAGGTTTGAAGGAAGTAAACTATCCTTTCACATTTCCCTTTCCCCAAAAGGTGAAGTAGGAATTAGGTTACGATACAGAGAAAAATGTGGCAAGGAAACCACCACATGGGTCCACTTAGAGGCCTTAAGCCTGAGGACAAAGCAGCCCTAAAGCTTACATCTCCTACACCTTAATGCACCAAGATGTACACCTCCATAGAAATTGGGAGCCAAAATCCTCAGGAGTAATACAGATGCTGTCTGCCTGCATCCTGTGGGATGATGGTATTTAATGGAGGTAACAAGAAATAAGCCAAGTTTTATTTTTCCAAATATGACTCACAAATTGACTCCAACAAAGTAAACAATAAATGGTGCTGGACAACTAGATATCCACACATAAAAGAAAGAATTGGACACCTATCTCATGCCATTTACAAAAATTAACACAGAATACATCCAAGGCCTCAATGGAAGAACTAGTACTACAAACTTAAGAAAAGTAAAGATCAATCTCCATGAACCTAATTAGGCAATAGCTTTTTAGATATGGGTTCTAAAGCCAAGTAACTGTAGAAAAAAACAGATATAATAAACATCAAAAATTAAGTCTCTGTTCCTTCAAGAACAAGAAAGTAAAAAGATAACAGAGAATAGGAAAAAAAATTGCAAATCATGTATCTGATAAGAGTATAATGTCCAAAATATATAATGAACTCTTACAATATTGAAAAGACAACCCAAATAAATATAAACAAAAGATTTAAATAGATATTTCTCCAAAGAGGATAGGTAAATAGCCAGTAAATACATGAAAAGATGTTCAACACTATTAGTCACCAGGAAAATGCAAATCAAAACTATAATGAGGTACACTTCACACATACTAGGATATGCATAGTCAAAACAACAGACAATAGCCAGTGCTGATGATGCTAGAAGAAGTGGAATCCTCATGCATTGCTAGTGGGAACGGGAAACAATTTGGCATTTCCTCAAAAAGTTAAACATAGAGTTACTATATAACCAGAAATTCCACTCCTACTTAAAAACCCAAGAGAAATGACAACATATGTTCACACAAAAATTTGTACACAAATATTCATAGCAGCATTATTCATAACAGCCCCCAAAATAGAAACAACCCAAACAGCCACTTACAGATGGATAAATAAAATGTGGTGGATCCATCACACAATGCAATTTTATTTAGTGATAAAAAGGAATGCAGTGCTGATACATACTATTATAGAAAGGATCCTGAAAATAGTATGATAAGTGAAAGAACTCAAATGCAAATGGTCTCACGTTTATAATGTCCATAATATGAAAATCCACACGAAGATAAAACAGGGTCAGTGTCTGCCAGGGACTGAGGGTGGGGAGAACAGGTAATGACTATGAATGGGTGTGAGTCTTCTTTCTGGGGTGATGGCACATTCTGAAGTGAGATAGTAGTAATGGTTGCAAACCTTGAGATATACTACAAACTTTACTGTACACTTTAAAAAGGTGAATTCTGTTATGTTAATTATATCTCAATTTTTAAAAAGTGAGGTGCAAATATAAAAGGTAACTACACTACACCATATATACCATCAAGGAGATACAACAGAAAAGCAATTAAGTCAACTTGAAAATCACTGCTGGACACTGGTGTTCACTTTCATAATAACAAATATGAAAAATATTGAATTCTATTGCCATAAATGGAATGCCATAAAAATTGAGGAAAAAATTAACTTGATTTCCATGAAAAACATCCAAAGATAAATATTTACTTTCTTTCCAATACCTCAACTACTTGGAAGCTGAGCTCTCTGGAGCAGATAGACAGCCTCTATGTTAGATATGCTAACAGCAAACAGACTTGAAAGAATTCAAGTATAAGAACCTGAGCCTCAGACCCCGCTGCCTCTGGTAAAGAGTAAATGGATTCTCTCCCAGCCAGCTCTGTGGCTGCAGATGATCATTCCACCGTGATAACAACAAAGTAACAGAGTAGAACTTTCAATTACCAGCATCTCAACCTTAGAGAGGAGATGAACATTAGAAATAAGGCTTTTATTAGATTCCCTGAATGAATATGTGTGAGTCCAAATGACCAGTTTTTCAAATAAGGCCAGCGCATGTTAAGAATATGTAATCACAGGCAAACTCTTTATACAGACAATGTAAAAGCAAAAAAGTAACACAATTATCTGTGCCTAGCACATCCCATACACCCAATAAATTGTTTATATTGTTTACTAAGTAATTTTGATCAACAAATAAGGCAAGTGGTAATAGCTGTTTCTAATTTTACTTGTCTTCATCACTGGGAAGTAGTTTTTTCCTTGTTTTATTCCTATTGTAATACCACATCCTCACTGATATTCAAACTGGCAAATCAATTACTATTAATAAAGATAACCAGTCCACTATAAGTAGAGATATTCTGACTAGTTATAAAATGCTCTTCTTATCAACCTTTCTGAAATAACACATCTTCTGACCAATAAAATTGCAAGAATTTGTGAGATGATTAGTTTCTCATAAGCCCTATGATTTTAGTTAATAAACTAAGAAAGAATATATTAACACGGTTTAACAATAAGTTGCCCACTTCTTACATATTGGAACCAAAGACAGATCTAATCAAAATACAATCTTCTCACTGATCCCTATTAAGATTCAGCAGCAAGGGAGATTTCTTTCTAAAGCATACTAATTTTCAAATACCCAGAGGTTAGCAATTAACTTTACATTTTCCTTTTTTTAAAGCCTCATTTAAAAACAAAGAAATAATTTCTAAAACAAATGGGATGCTTGAAATACTACACAGAATCAGATGGATGAAAGAAATAGAAAGTATCATCAGAGATGCTGTCTTCTCTTTCAGGACACTCAATAAAGTCTTCAGGGATAAGACTCTACAAGCGTTCAATGTGGGACAGAAACCATAAGGACAAGTATTCCCTAACCTCCCTTATAGCGACATAAGCTCCTCTTTGATCTTCAAGGAGACATGAAGTTAACTTTTGTACCATCATCTTCTAAGCTTTTTATTAGAAATCACAAAGCTCTCTTCTACTTACTTTCCTTAACACTTCATTTGCTGACATTATAAACAAAGATTTCCAAAGACTACTAGTTAGCTGACCTTGAATGGAAAGAATTTTCTAAATATAAAAGCAATGAATCAAAAGGGAAAAGATTAATAAGTAGACAACATAAAACTGCCTTGATTGCCATACATCAATAGCCATCATAAATTAAATGAAAAGGCAGTTGTGGGGGAAATGCCCCCATATGATAAGTAAGGGATAATAGCATACACAAGTCAGTGGCTGGCCAAGAGCCCCCATAATTCCCTCCTCATCCATACAAGAAATTGCAAGGTCTTTACAAAAAGAGGGTACAGCTTCATCTTTGAGAATCTCTACCTCTCATCATCTGCTTTGATCCTCTGCCTCCTACCTGAACACCCTCTTTCTTCTAAGCTCTGGTAAGACTAAAGACTCAGGTAAACAGCAAAATCAGCCTACTCTTGATTCCAGATTTTCCTGAAGACCCAGTCTCTGAAACACTGCTTTCTCTTTTATCTAGACTTGCAGGCAAGTAACAGCTTACCACAGGCTCCAGGGACACCTTAGCTACCACTCAAAGACCAGTATGCTGGTTCCTACCTGGGCTTGGGGGGACAGATATCCAACAACTAAACTATTAATAAAAAACCAAACATGAGGGTCCAATATAAAAATAAACAAAGAATGTATATAGGTAATTTACAAAAAAAAAAAAAGATCTAATAGCAAACTTTTTTTTTTTAATTCAGGTAACATTACATATTACTTAGAGGCATTGGATCACACTTCAGAGTATGTCACCACCACACCCACCACCAATGCACCCAGAGTTCTCTACCAAAGCCCACTGTGCCCAGTCCCCAGTTTGTACTCTATCCCCCATCATAGCCTCAATTCTACAGTCAGATTTCTAGGGTTTGTAATGGTTTGGTTTTATCTGACTTTGTTTTTTAATTCCACATATAAGTAACACCATTAAGTATTATCTTTCTCTTTTTTATTTCTCTTAGCAGAATCCCTCCAGTCCCAACCATGTTGTTGCAAATCATGAGATGGCATCTTTTTTTTTAATAGCTGAGCAGTAATGCTGTGTGTTAGTGTGTGTGTGTATGAACCTTAGTGTCCTACCAAAATCATACTCAGTAATATAAATGAATATTACCTTAATAAAAAAATAAGCAGGGCCCTCCCTGCCTGGTGGTGCAGTGGGTTACAAGCACAGCACTAAGAAGCTAAAGCCACTTCAGCATGAGTTCAATCCCCACCCCAGAGGTGACCCACATGGCATGGCAGACCTCTCCTGACCTGCCCGCTGCTCCCCTCAGTAGTGTACTTCGACAATCTGCCTGTTCTGCTCCCCACTCTGTCTCTGGTGAATCCTCTCGCCCATCCCTGCACCTCTGGCTGGTTCCCAGCTCTATTTGCATAAATAAATAAATCTTTTTAAAAAGATAAAAACATTCCCTGAATATGATTTAAAAATACCTTGGTGTGAATGTAAAAGTATATGATCACCCAATTTATAGGGCTACACTGAAGAATTGTATTTTTACCCTATGAGAAATGAGAAGTAGTTATGGATTTGGGGGTAAGGGAAAGGAAGATGGCTCTAATCATAGTCAAAAGATTACCCCTGCTGCAGTTAAAAAAAAAAAAAAAAAAGGACGAGGGAATACTTTTAGACCAGCCAGGAGGCTACTACAAAACACCAGGCAGGAAATAATGGTAGCTTGGTCTAGGGTGACAGTGGTGGGGACAGAAGGATTATTTTTTAATATGAAGAAAAAAATAAAACAAAATTTGATGACTTACATATGGAGGTGCCAGGGAGTACCAGGTGTCAAGGTTGAATCCAAGGTTTCTTGCTTGGAAATCAGATGAATGGATCCTGGTTTCAGGTAACCTGGTTGTTACCTGGTTAAGACAGAAATACTAGAGATTATCATGGTGTAAAATTTTAAGTTTGTGAGACATCTGCATAGTTTGAAACAATGGGCATAGAAGGATGCATAAGAGAAAGACTTAAGATTCAAAACTTGTGTTTTTTCCATTCACAGAAGTGTCTGCCAGTGTGTTACCACAGTATATCTGGTTGGATGTTGGAGTTATTTGGTGGTCTGACAACAACAAAAAAAACACAACACTACAGCTCCTTAGCTTCAGCATGCAAATATCACCTGCTGCTAACTCTCAAGTGCTTTACATTAACTGTTCAAAAAGCGATTTCTCATGCAGGCTCCTTCAAGCCTATAACCTACATTTACAGAAGTGGAAACTGGTAGACAGCTTCGATGACCTGCCCACTTCCCCAGGCAGGGGCTGCTCTTAGGCCATAGGACAGGTGGTCTGTGTGCCTCTGTAGCCTGACTCCCTTCTTTTTATAGCTTAAAAATCTCTTAGAATTGAAAAGTTCTCCCTTCTCTCTCACCACCTGATTCTCATTCCAGGAACCTTGAATACTGATGGTGTTACATCTCTAACAATTCTCTGTGCCTCTCCCAGGTTGGTAACACCAGGGCACGCTTGTGCCCACCAAGGGCTGTTCACTCCAAAGGAACACTGCTGAAGAAGATAAACACTACCTCATGTTCCTATACTGACTAGGGCCCTACATGCGGACAACACACACACACACACCATGTAATTCCTCCATACCACCACTCAAAGGGTCAGCTTCTTTGAAAGCATTAACTCTGCCCTCTCCCTCAGCAGCCACTGTCAACAAAAAACTCCTGTGCAGACATTCACCTGGGTTAGAGGTTGGCTTTCTGGGCAGTGAGCAAAAAAGACCTCGTTTGGTCCGTTAAGCGATCACTGGGTACAAAGAGCTATATGAAATTCCGTAAGAAAAAAGCTATCATATAATGAGGTCCTACTAAGAGCCAGTCTAGAGGAAATGAGTGCGAAGAATAAGCACTTCAAAACATTTAAGAATGTTACTTTTCCTAAATCACACTTACCCTACGTTCGCCTTAAATTAAAAAAAAAAAATAGCTTCAACTTCTCAAAATGGGATGGAAGTGAGCAGGTGTAGAAGAACTGGAGGCGCGCAGCCAGGGATCACCCCACACTGCAGACCGGGGAAAATGGGGGTCACGACCGCTGGGCCCCAGGAGACACTAGGAAGGGAGGGCAGGCCCGAGCCCCGTCCCTCCGCGGCTGGGGGCCGCCAGCTGACCCAGCAGCGAGAGCCCCGGAGGCCCGTTTGCCCTCGCGTTGCCATAGTAACGGCGGGCCCGGTGAGCACCCGGCCCAGCCTCCCGCGGGGCCCGCCCAGGGCCCGGACGCCCGCGGCTACTCACCCCAGCTGCTGACCCGCCCGGCTCCCACGGGCGCGCACGCTTCGCGGGGGCAGCTGCCCAGCGCGGTTTTCCGCACCTGGAGAAACTTTGCGCTGTTGGAGCAGCCGCAAGGTGGTGAACGGGGGCCGGAAGGGGACAAAGCGCGAAGACTGGCTCTGCGCCCCTTCTCTCAGGGCGTCGGAGCTGGGAGGAGGCGTCCGCTAGCCTGGGGTGCGCCCAGAGGCTGCACCCTGAGCAGAAAATCTTCACCTGAAAATCCTGTTTCGGGGACAGAGAAGCAAGCGCGTGTTACACGAAATTAAAAGTGCCTAACAGTGTTATCGCAGGACTGAGATGATTTGCAGACCAATATCCTTACTCAGGGCCTAGGCCTCATCCCTGCCCCCCAGCCCCCACTCCAAGCTGAAACTGGGGCTGCAAGCCTTGCGATGTAGTGAGTGCCGAGCTAGCAAAAAAAAAAAAAAAGAAAGAAACAAAGAAAAAAGCCTGGGAAATGAACTTATATTAGTGATGGGAGGCGGCCCGGGTCGAGGGTGTTTGTCCCCACAGAGAGGCCAAGAAATCAACTGACAGATCAAATGACAACTCCCAGGAATATGTTTTAGCCACAAACCTCAGAGGAGCTATCTGAATGCATAAACCCTGCAAAGGAGGCTGGAACCAGACTCCAGCTGTATGCTAATGTATTTCTTGACCTGAACAAGGAACCACACATGGGTCTTGCTCTGTAGCAGCTGTGGGGAAGAATTTCAACTCTCCTAATACTAGCCTAATTTCAGGCAGATGAACTCTAAACTGTACTTGATTGGTAGTTGATAACTTGATAAAGCACTTTCATTTTATTGCTTAAAGGTGGAGATACATTAGGTGCTAATTCTTCTTGTTCAATATGAGCAACTGTTGACTTCAGTTTTGCAAATTTTCCAGGATAACCCCTACCATGTCCTGTGCTATGAAACTTTTGAATCGCAACCAGATTTTTTCCTGGAGAAGTACAGAACTATTGTTTAAATAGGGCCTGGAATAGCGTGCAAGCATTTTCTCTCTTCCTCTCTCCCCTGACTCTGCTCCTATCCAAGCATGAATTTAATGTCACAATGCCCAACAAAAGGAGATAAATTCTACCATCTGCTTCACTGAACTGTGGCATATGGATCTGCCTTTAATCGGAAACTACGAAGGCTTCAGTTCCAGGTCCTTATGAACAAATAACTTTGAACTGTCCTCTTCTTGATGTCTAAGAAAAGCCTGGTTAAAAAACATTGCTGTTGTGGAGAATTGTTTGAACAGCATGCAGATGACCCTGACCTCCCTGTGTCCTCTGGGTCAGTGAGTCTGAATCTTGACTACATAATCACATCAGACTTCTCAGGAGAGCTCTGCTTCTTTTTTGCTTTATTTTGTGTTAAATATAGATGCTCAGGTGACATTTCCAGAAATTTTGATTAAGTTGAGTCTATGAAACCATGTTTAAAAGGGCTTCAGATGGGTTTGTTACAGTCAGGTTGGGGAACCACTAGATCATATTGTATGCTAAATTTAACCAGAGTCATAGAGTGGTGTGTTTGTACCACTTCACCCTTGCAAAATTGCCTGGACCATAAGGTCTGTTAAAGAAAAAAAAAAAAAAAATACTCGCCACCTCTGCATTTACTAAAGGGATTAGTATTTAAATAACTTTTATTACCTCTCTGTAGCAGAATCATAACAGATTGACCAGTCCATTGATTTTTCAAACTTTTGGGACCATGACCACCAAAAAATATATATTTTACATTATGTATTATGTATCTATACATTTAAAAACTAAAACATATCCACAAACTATTATGCATAATACATGCTGTGCATGCTATTTTTACATCTCTTTTTAATGGTGGTTCCCCCCATTAATATTTCTTGACCCCTATATGAGTTGTAAGTTGCACCTGAAAAACAGCAATTTAACTAGATGTCTTTTTCTGGAAACTAGTCCACAATCCTAAGACAACGTAACTAGGCCACATGTCTGGTCAGTTGCTGCAGTAGAGGTACCCAACTCAAGCTGAGCCAACCACTTTCCTTTCCCAAGAATTTGAAATTAAGGCTGAGAGACTTCAGTTTTTCTCTAGATAGCTAATATAGACACATAGAAAAAACTGTAACAGAAAATCAGGAGCTGTCCACTGACATACTTTCCCAACATGTGACCCAGAGTAAAGCAAAAAATCAGATGGCGGGAAAAATGAAATTAGGAAGAATGGAAAAATGACAGAGAAAAGAAAGAAAAAGAATTCTGACAGTTTTCCATCCCTTACCATAACATTTCCTGAAATGAGCTGCATTCCTTAGCTTTGAATTCCATGGGCTATTTCCAAATCTTTACCAAAAAGATCCTTTTTCAATTAAGCTAGTTCAAATGACTGAGTCTCTGGTATTGCAAATAAAATTTATCTAATAATATTGGTTTTATTTGGATGTTCAACAAATTACCACAAACTTGGTGGTTTAAACAATATATATTATACTGAAGTTCTGTGTTAGAAGCCTGACACAGGACTCACTGGATCAATTCATTGACTGCAGGGGTTGTTTCTCTCCCACCCCCACCCCCACTCAGGAACCTGTTTCCTAGCCTTTTCCAGCTTCTACATGCTATTACAATCCTTGGCTCATAACCCTTTTCCTCCAACCTTAAAGGTAGTGACATTACATCTTTCTGTGCTTCAGAGGGCACACCTCCCTCTTACTGCAACTAGAAAGGTTCTCAACTTTTAAAATAGACCCATCCAGAAAAATCAGGATATCTTACCCATCTTAAAGTTCTTAATCACATCTGCAAAGTGCTTTTTGCATATAAATTGATATATTCATGGGTACCCCAGATTAGGAGGTAGACACCTATGGAGGAGAGGCTACCCCATATGAATAAAGTCACTCTATGCCCTTTAAAGGAAGGTTCATGCAAAATGTATCCTGAGTGCCAGAAAAAAATTTCCTTTGAAATACTGCAGCCCTTTTTCTTATATAAAAAGCATACCATGAACTGATCACATTTCCCTCTTCATCTTGGCTTTCAAGAAACAAATTGCAGCTTCCTCAGTAACTGCTGAATTCTGGCTTTATGGTATCATTACAACTTTCACTAGTTCATTTTCTCTACTTCTACTTTGATCTTTTTGTATCGATTTCATTGTATTAACTGTATTGTTTTGAGCTGCTTGTTTTTTCTTCTGCCACCATCCTCCACTAGTCTAGTTCCTTTTCACCATTCAGATGTCAGCTGGCTTGTTACCTCCTCAGAGAAGCATTCCATGATTTGCCTATCTAAATTGTCTGTCTAAAATAGTTCTACCCCACAGTCTATCACATTACTCTCTTAGCAGTACCCAGAACAATCTTGTTTACTTTATCTCTTCCCCTCACCAGGAATTAACCTCCAAAATAGTAGGAACCCAGCCTCTTTTTTATTCTTATTCCCAAAACCTGGCACAGTTCCTGGCACTTGGTAACTATTTAATAACAGCTGTAACATCAGTAAATTAATGAAAAACTTAGAGAAAAGAAAAGAGAAAGATGAAAAAAAAGAAGAAAGGGACATTATAAAACATGGTAGGGTATAGATGGATAGACATTTAAGTAGATAAAGACTGAAAATAAACAAATACTCATTTCTACCATGCAAACGTCACTAACAGTAGCAGAGATGTTTAGAGAAACCACACAAGTAAAATATAATTCCATAAAATTTGTACATAAAGTCCTGCATTTTCCTGAGGAATTCTGGATGAATTCCTCAGATAAAAATATTTTTAAGGCTCTCCCTGGTGGCGCAGCAGGTTAAAGCACAGCACTAAGAAACGAAAGCCACTTCAGTGCCAGTACTATCCCCTGCCCAGAGATGACCCACATGGTGCAGCAGACCTCTCCTGACCCACCCGCTGCTCCTCTCAGCAGTGTACTTGTCAGTCGGCCTGTTCTGCTCCCCACTCTGTCTCTGGTGAATCCTCTCACCGCCTCTGTACCTCTGACCTGTACCCCAGTTCTGTATGCATAAATAAATCTTCAAAAAATATATTTTTAAAGTTTTCAAGTGACTCAAAGCAGTTACATTAAATATTATAGCTAGTTACCAAATATTATAGCTGAAATCACCGTTTCTTACTGAGATAGTATATTGCAAGACCACGGCCACTAACATGACAAACACTGCCAAAGGAATTTAAACTATTCCAAGGGCCAGTGGTAAGCAGTAAGCTGCTTTTGTTCTATTCCTGTAGTTACTATGTCACCACTAGCAACCAGTGTTATATGTTACTTACTGAGAAGATCTTAGACACTCTATAGTAACATCTATTATAATGTATTATCAAATTGCTTGACATTGAAGATCAGAAATTACATTTGTCAATATAACAAAATATAGTAGCAATTATTAGTTTGTTCCAGGATTTGTTGATCTTATGAATAAAAATACCATGTTTGGTGGAAAGGGAAAGACTTCAGTTTTCTTAAGAAGTAATTATACATTAATTAATTTCAACTTACCCATTTAAAAAACTACATCATCAAAAAGAAAAGGAAAAAAAAAGACATGCTTTTCTCCAGGACCTGGTGGCACAAGGGGCTAACTGCATCCATTGCAACAAGAGCTCAATCCCTGGCCAGGAGCTGACCCACGTGGCACAGCAGACCTCTTCTGCCTTGCCTGCTGCTTCCCTCAGCAGTGTACTTTGTCAATCTGCCTGTTTTGCGCCCTACTCTGTGTCAGGGGTGTCACCACCCCTGTACCTCTGGCCTTTACCCCAGTTCTGTATACATAAATAAATAAATCTTTTAAAAAAATTGCTATTCTACAAAATAAATTTAGAGGTGTTTGAATCATTATGTGCTATATTAAGATTTCTTATGCAAGGAAAATATCCTTGAAAATTATATACTGCAAAAAGAAATGTATTCCTAATGAGAACTTTTGATTTCTGGTAGACTTTACCAATTTAAACAAGTTTTTCTACTTTTCTCTTCTCCTAACTTGACAAAAGTAAAAGTAACTTATGCTAGCAGTTCAAAAGGAACTAAACATTTGAC